ATGGCCGCCTCTCAATTTGATGTCCAATGGGTGAATTTTGGGACGGAGGGAGTATCAGTTTTGGTGCAAGGAGTTGGAGATGCACTCACATAAGTAATCTTTTTGGCACAACATACAATATCCAGAAACCTAACTCGCGGCATGCTCAACATTTGACGTTGGGTTCCGCGAAAGTGCAGTGAGCGTGAGACAGATTCGGTCGTTATTGGGCGTCCCGGAGCCGCCCGATCCGACCAGACCACAAAAGCAGAGTGCAGTACAGAACGGGTCAATGTTGCCATTGTAACCTAGGACCGTTTATTTCTTCGAGTGAACCACCGTCGTCCTCGTCCTAGACTCGGATGTGATGTAGCAGTTCTTTTTTTTTTTTGAAATGGTGATGTAGCAGTTCTTTAATGGCGACACAGAGAAAAGTTGTGCGAGGAAACGTTAGCTGGTTCCATATGCAACCAATTGCGTCCACATCGGATGATGCACTTTCCAGCCAACTTGTCTGCGGGGTGCTTGGAGAGCAATCCTGTGGAGTCTAGATCAAGCCAGATTCCACTTTCTTGTTGGTCCTTGCAGATCAAGGCAGAGTAATTGTAATAATTAACCGAGGTGATTCTTTGACTTGTAATTACCGCACGTGCTTGACCTCTTCTCTGTCTTGATGCTTCTCTTCTGTGCCAATCAAGCGGGTGCCATGACCTTACACGAGCTGTATAGCCTATGACATCGATCTACTGCCATTTTATCGAAGAAATATCGATCGGCCGTGAGCGTTGCTTTCACCTTTCCCTCTCTCGTCTCTGAGATTCCTCTTTTCGGTTTTGTTGACTGTTCATTCCACGCACGCAGAATACCTTATCCGGCCAGAGTCCACGGGCAGCAAGGACCATGAACAACAAAGCCACGTCAGATGGCAGTTCGTCATGAGACTTGGGACATGGGATTCGCGCCGAGTCGTACATATCTCCTCGGCCGAAACAATCAAAGGGATTCGTTATCCAGAAGGTGCACGCGAGCTTGACTAGTCACAGTGAGGAGTAACTTAGACAAGTTATCTAGAAGGTGCACGCGAGCAACATCACTATTTAGACTTGTGTGGCAATGTATGTTACTATCTTCGTTACTCCCACTATGACCAGCCAACGGGCCAGGCTGGACAGGTGCCCCCTGCGCCACATCGTCCTGCCGAACGCCACCTCCACTGAACATGTTGCATGCAGAGAGAAACGAGATCCGGCAGAAGAGCTCGCATCCTCCCTGACAAAAGCGCTGAGGCAGCCGCTCGGGCGACGCGGTGCGAGCTTCATAGCTCTGCTCGGTTCAGGACCACAATTTGCATGTGTTGAAAAGTGGGTGGAAGAAAAAGTAAGGTGATGACATAAAGAAAGTAGCCTCTATTGGATGACCGTGGCACACATCAGAGCTTCATTCAAGTTTATCTAGAAGCCACCTAGGGCTGTTCTGTTTAACTTCTCGTTAGACTACCCACAATGGGAGTAACATAGATAATAACATAACACATATCTAGATAAAATAGATGATGTGACAATCTATAAATGAAGAAAGAGAGACATGTGGCAACATAACTAATTATTACTAGTATGAATAACATCACACTTATCAATGCAAAACGAGTCTATAGACTAATAAAAGAAGTGTTACATATTACCATACATATGTTACTCCCCAGTATAGAGGTCGTAACATAAAGTACTAATATGGGCAATATTACTACTCTATATTATTACCCATTGTGGCTAGTCTTAGGACTATGAACAACACAGCCACGTAAGATGGTAGTTCGTCATGAGACTTGGAGCAAGGGATTGGGTAGCTCGTAGTCGTCCGTACATCATCTCCTCGGCCGAAATAATCAAAGGGACAAACAAGTTGGTTATCTAGAAGGTGCACGCGAGCTTGCTAGAGTCTTACGAGGAGGATCATTCTTATACAACCACAGGATTCCTGGTCCTTTTGTGCCGTCGTAACGAGAAGTTCGCTGATTTACTTTCTCTAGCCTTGTTGAACTTCTAGTTATCATGATGTTACCGTTAGGCAACAGTTTAAAACCTGGGATCCCATTACTTTTGCGTTGTTCCAGCCGTGCTTGATAGTGGAACCCGGTCCAATTTTGATTGCGCACGGAAATTCGCAATATAAGGTACTCCATTTTTGTGTCAAGTCAAAAGATATTCAAATTTTGACCAAGTTTATAGGAAAAATACCATCATGTGCACATCCAATTGATACGTACTATCATTTAAATTCTTCATTGAACATGTTTTTGTTTTGCGGGAGCTTCATTGGACATGTTTTCATAGTGTTTATTTTTTGTATTGTAGACATGGATATTAATTTTCTATAAAGTTGACCAATTTTAATATAGTTTGCCTTGGACAAAACTAAAATGAATTACATTGTGAAACAGGGGGCATAATACTTGATCCACTTGTGATGACATTGGCCTTGCTGCGTTGCATCAACTTTAATAAAGATGATTGTGTGCATCAATTGATATAGAGGCTGGGGGTTCCAACCTCCTTAGTGAAAAAGGAAGAACATTGTGAAACACTGGGAATAGCACTTGATTCAGGATGCCGTGGATTCAGTTTCAGCGTGGTATAATCCTTTAGCGCGCATCGTCACGTTATCTGATAATTTCCAGTCCCAAATACACGGAGTTTGAACCGCACTTGGTAATAAAAGAACATAATCAAATCCTGTGCGTGTGCAGAGCTGTCGATCGATCGAGGCCTGCACGGCAGACGTGCCGAGGGTACATGGGATATCTTCACTCGTCGTCTTCTATGTGGCTGGTCTCCAGGACATAATCCCTCATGAGCTTTATGTTGGCCTCATCAACCATCTGCCCATGCGCAATGGAAGGCAAGAAATAAACAACAATGAATGGTCTCTTCTTGATGGTGATGATAATACTTCGGCGTGGAAAACAACCAACCTTGAACGATAGCTTCTTCAGGTTGTCCCACTCGAAATCATTCTTCATATAAGCCGATCGAACCTGCGGTCGCAGATGCATGAGCAAACCCTGGGCCAGACCAAAGTTCAGAAGATTGCCATTTCTAAATTTTTCTAGGTGCTTACCTCCAAAATCCTCATAGCTGTCACCATGGTGAAACAAAGGTAATGAGGTGTCAGTAAATTTGTCCAAGACTAATGTTCATCATGAGAAATGGTAAGCCGACAATCAAATGAAAACTAAAAGAGCACCAACACTTCACCACTGTGTTAAACACGCATTGTAGAGATAGATATAGGAATAGATGTTTAAGTAGTTTCGGTTGACATATCCTCTGTAACCGAACTCTCCTTCCTTTATCCCTTCTTCTCCAAGTTTGTAATTCCAACAACTTCATGTATGCGCTGTTATTTAGGGAGGTGCGCCCCTGCCATATAAACACGCAACGCGTCCCTCTAACAAGGCAAGACATGGCCGTATGCATCTTTCTGATGCAGAGGCCGGGGAATCCCCCCTTTTAAAAAAAAACGAGGCAAGACGCTTCCCGCATATCGCACATGGTAATCAGAGCCCTTCCTCTCTCCATCTAGCTATCCCGATTCCATCTAGTGCCATAGCCATGTCTTCGTCCGGCGCCTCCCAACCTAGCCTCAACGGCCAGGTCACCGAGAAGCTCAACCGCACGAATTACGTGCTCTGGCGCACGCAGGTCACACCCCACCTGCGGGGCACCGGTGTCTTCGGCTACGTCGACGACACCTCGCCGGAACCGGCCAGACTCCACGTCACCAAGGACAAAGACGGCAAGGAGACTTCTGAGCCCAACCCTCTCCACCCACTTTGGGTCAGGGAGGACCAACAGGTGCTCGGCTATTTGCTGAGTACGCTGTCCAGGGAGGTCCTGGTCGCGGTCACCGCGATCACCACGACGCATGACCTTTGGTTGGCTCTGGCGGGCATGTTCTCGTCCCAATCCCTCAGCCGCGTCAACAACATCCGAACTGCGCTCATCAACACGCAGAAGGGCAACCAGTCCGTTGCCTCCTACTTCGCCTCCCTCCGCGGCCTCGCTGATGAGCTCGCCGCCGCCGGAAAACCCATCCAGGACGACGAGTTGATCTCGTACATCCTCCATGGGTTGGACGCCGACTACCAGCCGCTCGTCTCCGCCCTCGACGCCCGCGTCACGCCTGTCACCCTCGATGAGCTCTATGCCATGCTGAGCAACTTCGATCAGTGCATGGCCCAATTTCATGGCTCCTCCGGCGGCTTCAAGTCCTCGGCCAACGCCGCATCTCGCGGTCGTGGTCGCGGTCGTGGCTCTCCCCGCACCAAAGGGCGGCCTGGAGGCACCATCAACGGTGGTGGCTCCTCCAACTCCCGCGGCGGCCGCTCCCCCAACTCCAAACCTCGTCGTGGCGGCAGCTCCACCAGGTCTCGTCCGGATGCCCCTCGCTGTCAGATCTATGGCAAGCTTGGGCACACGGCCAAAGACTGCTGGTACCGCTACGATGAAGATGACTACGACTCCCAAGACGAGGACAAAGTTGCTGCAGCTGCGGACGGCTCCTACGGCGTCGACACCAATTGGTACGTTGACAGTGGGGCCACTGAACACATCACCAGCGAGCTCGAGAAGGTGACCACGCGGGAGAAATACCGCGGCAAGGACCAGATCCACACTGCCAATGGTGCAGGTATGAGGATTCGTCACGTTGGTCATACAGTTATTAAAACTCCCCATCGCAACCTTCATCTAATTTTTTTTTGCATGTCCCTAGTGCTAGTATGAATCTTCTCTCCGTTCATAGAATTGCCATTGATAATCATGTCTTTCTCGAGTTTCATCCTTTTTTCTTTTTGATCAAGGATCAGGCAACGAAGAAAGTGCTTTATCGAGGTAGATGCGTTCGAGGGCTCTACCCATTGCTTCCGGAGTGTCGAAGATTCAATAAACGAGCCTACGGTGTTGCCAAGCTTTCGTCAACCCGATGGCACGATCGATTAGGCCATGCCTCTTTTTCTTTAGTTGAAAGATTGCTTAGGAAAAATAAGCTCCCGTTTGTTGGTGAGCGCAATATTGAAACAGTTTGTGATTCATGTCAACGTGCTAAGAGTTATCAGTTACCCTATCCTCTATCAACTAGTGTGTCTACAAAACCATTGCAATTAATTTTTTCTGATGTTTGGGGTCCTGCCCCTAGCTCTGTTGGTCGACACACTTACTATGTGAGCTTTATAGATGACTACAGTAAATATTCCTGGATCTATCTTCTTAAGAAATGATCCGACGTCTTTCAAGTCTTTCAAAACTTTCAAGCTCTAGTTGAGCGCAAGTTTGACAGCAAGATTATTGCTGTTCAATCAGACTGGGGGGGGGAGAGTACGAAAAGTTGAACTCTTTCTTCCAAAATCTTGATATTTCTCACCATGTATCATGCCCTCACGCTCACCAACAAAACGGCTCTGCAGAACGTAAACACCGACACATTGTTGAGGTAGGACTAGCCCTCTTAGCCGGCGCATCCATGCCCCTCAAGTTTTGGGATGAGGCTTTCCTCACGGCTGTCCACATCATCAACATGCTTCCTAGTCGTGTTATCAATAATGAGACTCCAGTAGAGAGGCTTCTTCATGTCAAACCTGACTACAAGTCACTTCGTGTGTTTGGTTGTGCGTGTTGGCCCAATCTTCGTCCCTACAATAATCGTAAGCTCATGTTCCGCTCAAAGCAATGTGCTTTTCTTGGCTATAGTCCACTTCATAAAGGTGTCAAGTGCCTTGACATCTCCACCGGCCGTGTCTATATCTCTAGAGATGTGGTCTTTGATGAAACCAAATTTCCTTTTGCTGATCTTCATCCTAATGCCGGTGCTAGACTCTGTCAAGAAATACTTCTTTTGCCACCTCATCTATCCGGCCTTGATCACGGGGGAGAAAATAATTGTGATGATCCAATGATGACTAACCCTCCTAACCATGCACATGAGCTTTGATGATGCAGGAGAAAACGGAAGTGAAAACAGAGAAGAAAATGATGCACAAATCAATCCCCAAGTGCCATATTTCATGTGTCACGAGGAGGGGAGCAAATCTGCCTCGGAGTGCGCTGGATCCGCCTCGGGATCGCTGCAGGAGCAGCAGCGCAGGCAATCTGCGCGGGCTGACGCGTCAGAACCGACAGCGGGTCCGCCCGCTCGTGCGACCGGCAGCGACTCCGCGCGTGCCACGCGCCCGTCCGCAGCTGGAGGCGACCCCGCACCCGCTCCTCTCCACTCAGCGCTCGACACCTGGCAGCGCCCGGGTGGTCGAAGCAGTAGGCGTTTTCCGGACGAATTGTGCTGCTACAAGCGGCGCGTCGAGACGCAGCTGACGGGCGCTGAATCCGGTGCTGATTCACGCGGGCCTGCGCAATCATGTGCTCCTGACGAGCCGGTCGGGAGGCCGGGATCTTCTACGGCGCCTACAACATCTGGGTCACGGGGCGAAGCCACAGAGGATCCGGGGCGAGCACGAGGCGGATCTGCCTCGGAACTTGCAGCGCCCAGAACTCCTGTTCCCGACTCAGGATCTTCTGTGGCCACAGATTTGGCTGCACCATCACAACGACAAACTCGGCTGCAACAAGGTGTGATCAAGCCTGTTGATTATAAACATATAACAAAATATGGCCTAGTTTGTTCCACAGGTGAACCAGGTGAGCCAAGTACGCTTGAGGAAGCACTCAGTGATGAAAAGTGAAAAAAGGCAATGAAGGAAGAATATTTGGCACTTGAGAAAAATAACACATGGCATCTAGTCCCTCCACAGCAAGGTAAGAATCTTATTGATTGCAAATGGGTTTTCAGAATAAAAAGGAAATCTGATGGAACCATTGATCGATACAAGGCAAGACTTGTTGCCAAGGGTTTTAAGCAACATTATAGAATAGATTATGAGGACACCTTTAGTCCTGTTGTTAAAGCTACAACCATACGTTTTGTTTTGTCCATTGCTGTGTCTATGAGTTGGAGTCTCAGGCAGCTAGACGTATAGAACACGTTTTTGCATCGTGTTCTGGAAGAGTAAGTATACATGAAACAACCTTCTGGGTTTGAAAATGAACAAGCACCCTCACTTGTATGCAAACTTGACAAAGCACTGTATGGGTTAAAGCAAGCACCAAGGGCATGGTATTCACGCCTTTGTCATAAAATGCAGACACTCGGTTTTGTTCCTTCCAAGTCTGATACTTCACTGTTCATTTACAATAAATTGAACACATCCATTTTGTTCTCATTTATGTTGATGGTATTATTGTTACAAGTTCATCTGATGAAGCAATAACTGCATTATTGAAGGACTTGAGCACAGATTTTGCTCTTAAGGATCTTGGAAATCTTCATTATTTCCTAGGGATTGAAGTGAAGAAACATGATGATGGACTTCATCTCTCCCAGGAAAAATATGCCACTGATTTGGTAAAAAGGGCTGACTTGCAAGGTTGTAAACCCTCACCCACTCCTTTGTCAAGTTCTGAAAAACTGTCTCTTACAGAAGGTACACCTCTAAGCAAAGAGGACAACACTAAATACAGGAGCCTAGTCGGTGCATTGCAGTACTTAACTTTGACAAGGCCTGATATTTCTTTTGCTGTCAACAAAGTATGTCAGTTTCTTCATGCACCCACCACTGTTCATTGGACTGCTGCTAAACGTATAGTTCGATATGTCAAAAATACTTTGAGCATTGGTCTTAATTTCAGCAAGTCACCATCTACCTTGGTTAGTGCCTTCTCTGATTCTGATTGGGCAGGCAGTCTGGATGATAGACGCTCCATTGGTGGCTTTGCAGTCTTTTTTGGTCCTAACCTAATATTATGGAGTGCAAGGAAACAGACAACTGTGTCTAGATCAAGTACAGAGGCAGAATACAAAGCATTGGCAAATGCAACAGCAGAAATTATATGAGTTCAATCTATTCTTAAAGAACTTGGTGTGAAAAACACCAAGGCCCCATGTTTGTGGTGTGATAATCTTGGTGCTACCTATCTATCTGCTAATCATGTGTTTCATGCAAGGACAAAACACATAGAGATAAATTTCCATTTTGTGAGAGAAAGGGTTGCTAACAAGCAACTTGACATTCGGTTTGTGCACTCTAGAGATCAAGTTGCTGACGGGTTTACCAAGGCTTTGCCCACACGAAGTTTTTAAGACTTCAAGCATAATCTCAACTTGATGAAGTTGTGATTAAGGGAGGGTGTTAAACACGCATTGTAGAGATAGATATAGGGATAGATGTTTAAGTAGTTTCGGTTGACATATCCTCACATATCCTCTGTAACCGAACTCTCCTTCCTTTATCCCTTCTTCTTCAAGTTTGTAATCCCAACAACTTCATGTATGTGCTGTTATTCAGGGAGGTGTGCCCCTGCCATATAAACACGCAACGCGTCCCTCTAACGAGGCAAGACGCTTCCCGCATATCGCACACACTGCAGTGCATGAGTTAGTTCAGAACTGATGCTTGTCTTAGATTAAGTTCTGATCAACAAAACAGGCATCATAAACCTGCTACGACACTCAATTCTTCAGCGATAAGCATGTACTCGGATAGGCAAAGGTTACCCCGTATATCATCCTAAATCTGGAAAAGGGGTAAGAAAAGTTACCCAATGCCTTGTGTCTTGGCGACTCGCGGATCAGGTTTTTGCAGAAACTATCAGCGTCGTTCACGGAGTTGCGGCTGGTGAACTCCTTGAGCTCAACATAGGCTTCTCGGTTGTAACTCTGACGGTAAAATTGTTCACAGGAAGATAAAAAAGGACAGCTATTAGATGGCACCAAAACGTCCCTCAAACATAAAATAAATAAAGAATCAGGTACCCAACAGTATTATTAGGGTATGTCTATTTCTCTCAATGGGCTGCGAAAATCCTACTCTCAGTGGTGCTGTAATAATTTGTGCATCGAGTATAACAAATACGGTAGTGTTGTCTCAGTCCAAATCAAGTTGCAAACAAAAAAGTACTACTTACTATACTACTGAAGTATTGTGTTGCTTTTACTAAATCTAAGACTCTCAATGGAGATTATGCGAGGAACTAGAAGGTAGGTAACCTCAAGCTGTGCCAGCACAATCCTGACGGCCAGGTAATTGAAGAAGTTCAGCAGACTAATCGCCGCCTTTTTCTCTGGGGAGCCCTCTCCAAAGCCTGAAACATGTCACTGGCTCAGTCCACATCATTTCGCAAAAGCTATTTACAGTAGTATTGTTAGTGTTACAGTGAATGAATTAATTTGAGCATGCTTCGAACTCCTGACTGAGATTTGAAACCGATTTGCATATGTCGAACCATAAGATTTTCGTGGTTTTAGCACACGGAAGAACAGAAATTTGCTTGGTAATTGTTGAAGTTTGGCTCTTTCACAACTGCACTTGGCTACTCTGCTTTAGCTGCTACAGAAATATAATGGCCGAGCGGATCAATCCAATTGCTTTTCCCTCGGGGAACAGGGGGCTCAAGAATTGAAGATGAAGGCAAAGTAGTGCAGAATTACCGGGAACATACATCTTGTGGCACCGAGGCGGCGCCTCGAAGCTCACGAGCCGCCGCCGCCTCCTCCTCTCCGCCCCGCAGAACGCCTGTGCGGGTAGGTGTTGCCGGCGACGAGGGACCACTCCGGCAGGGTGGGGCAGGACGGCGCAGCGAGAGGACACCATGGCGTCTGGAATGGTAACCAACGTGCGCCACGGGTTGCACCCAGCGGGAGATATTTGCATGCCAGGGTATTTTGGGTATTTGATGACGAGAAGTCAAGTCTCAGCATTTCGGACTCAGAATTTGTACTCCCTCCGTCTGAAAAAGTTTGTCATTCAAATGAAAATGCTAGATACATTCATTTGAGAAACAAAGTACCTGGCAAACTCTATGTGGCCTACCTGACCGAGCCTTCTCCCCTGCCTCCTCCTCGGGTAAGAATAAGATGTCGTTTCGCAAAAAAGAAAAAAGAATAAGATGTCGTTGATTGATTTGCTTGGTGCTCGATGAAGTGCCACTGCAAGCGAAAGTAGCTCATCCGAGCTCAAATGCTCCCTGTGTGAACAGTAAAATAAATAAAAAACTGATTTTTTTGGCTTACATTAGGAAATTTTTGCTGTGCATGCCAAATTTTATCACGAAATCTCATTGGTGGAAGTCGTGGAAAAAAACAAAATCAGAGCTCCAAAATGCGTTTGAAAGTAAAATTTTCAGAGCATCGATTTTATTTTTTACCACACCTTCCACCAATGTGATTTCGTGATGAATTTTTGCATACACTCTAAATATTCCTTAAATTTTTCCACACAAAAAATTCAGAATCTTTTGGATTTGTTTTCTATTTTTTCAAATTTACTGTCCACCTAGGAGCATTTGAGCCCGGGTGTAGAAACTCCACATCCGCAGGCGAAAGTAACTTTGTTGATTTCTATACCGTGTTGGGGTGTTGCGAGAGGAGGTGAATGAGAACGTGTACAGGAAAAGCACTAGGAGAGTGTGTTGGCCATATTTCTGTTCCTGATCGGAAAGCTCATTTATTTAGTAGTGATAATGCACGTACGGCCATATTTTTACGGATTAAGACCATCTCCAATAAGATGATGTAGATGTAAAAATAATAGATTTTGACATCACTAGGGGGGCATATGGAATTTTGTTACGGATTAAGCACATGGGATGACACCAGGGAAGGAGTTGAAATCAGAAGGCGTTTTTTTTGCATTAGGGCTATATCTCGCCGCAGCAAGAGGGAAACAAACGTCTCGCCTCCGGCAGCGATTGGTGCGCCCTCGGGGAGCTCCTTTTTTTTTTTGAGGGGTTCCCTTGGGGAGCTCCTAATCCGCGCGGAACTCCTCTCGCTAGCAAAAGCAGGACACAGCAATAACCACTAGACCGAGCTCCCCCTGACAAACAGTATCAGGAAGTGCAATATTTGACCTTCTTCTAGTACAGCATTAAGAGTACTATTATATATACCTTATATAAATTATATGAAAAGAAACATAAACTTTGCAACGAAATTCAAGACACTTTTTGAAACCGCAAAATTTTAAAACAATTCAAAAAAAATTTAAAAGATTCGTACAAATTAAAAAAAATCATGAAATTTCGAAACAAGTTCACAAATTTGAATAAAAGTTCATTGAATTTTAAAAAAAAGTTCATCCAAATTGAAAATAAGTTCAAGCAATAAAAAAAAGTTCATCAGATTCGAGAGAAAGTTCATCGATTTTTTTAAAAAAAATCATTGATTGTGAAAAAAGTTCATCGAATTTGGTGCGCATTTGAAAACATGAAAAAAGTTCGTTGATTATGAAAAAAAGTTCATCGATTATGAAAAAAAGTTCACGAATTTAAAAATAAGTTCATCAAATTTGAAAAATGTTCATTGAATTTGAAAAAAGTTCATCGATTATGAAAAACAGTTCATGAATTTAAAAATAAGTTCATCGATTATGAAAAAAAGTTCACGAATTCAAAAAAAAAGTTCACAAATTAGAAAAGAGATATCAACTATTTGTAAACATTTCATGCATTTAATAAAAAAGAAAATAGGAAACAAAAAAAGAAAGGAAAAAACACAGAAACATAAAGGGCATTTCTTGTGTGTATAAAAAGATGGAAAGGATGATTGTATTCACGAGTCAGGGTGATGTCGTAGTGGTTTGAGGAGTTGGCTATTGACTGAGAGATTGCTGGCTCGATTGCTGGCTGTGCACAGTTTTCCTTCCTTTTTTGAGTTTCAAAAAACAGGGAAAAGAATGATAGTTGGGCCGAGCCCAGCTAGCGCCGCTGCAGGCGCCGGTTTGCGGAAACAGGCTATAACCGGCGCCTGCAGCGCCAAATAGGAAATGCCCGCCCTCGGCTTAGTAGGCCGGCACATCAAAGCGACTATAGAAAGGTTGTGTAACCGGTTCGGGCCGGTTTTATAACTTTTCGTATGGTTTTTTATTCTTTTATTTGTACTGATTTCTTACCAATTTTTTTCACAAGTTTTCTTTTTTCCTTTTTCTTTTTTTGCTTTCCAAATACATGTGTACAATTTTCGTTACACATTTTCATTTTGTCGTATACACATATAACATTTTTCTGAAAAGCATTTAATATTTTTAAATACACGATGGACATTTTTCAAATAAAAGTATTAATTTTTCTAAATAAATGATAATCATTTTCAAATACACATTGAACTTTTTTTGAATGGTATGAAACATATTCTCTATAATATGCGAACATTTTTTACATTATATTAACATCTTTTTTAAAATAAGTTATGGACATATTTTTTAAATGTGTGAATAGATTTTTCAAATGTCACATAGATTTTTTGAATGGTATAAACATCTTTTTTACTTACACAAACATTTTTTGCATTGCATATTTTTTAAAGAATGTCATGATCATTTCTTGAAAAGTAAGAATTTTCCTTTTTTAAATGTCTTAAACATATTTTAAAGCTTGATCCGCGTCATTGTGCTCAGTAAAAGGAATGAGAGAACCCCCAATAGAAAAATATTGGAAAGAAAAATACTTCTAACATGAATCAGTTCCCATGCAATAACCAAGAATTCTTGACGGTATCTAGCTCGAACAACTTGTTCTTCCTGAATACCTTGATTCAAGGACAAAGAATTTGCTATTGCTATCATATAATATTCATCTCTATTTGGTGATAGATAAACCACCTGTCTTTTTTTTTTTGCTTTCTAAGCAGATATTTCATAAAAATGGACTCTTTAAGGATCCCCACAAGTGATCAGTTCTCACATGAATTGCTAAGGATCCAGTAAGTCCAACGTTGATTCCTTCAGACATGTCAATTGGACAAATTCGCCCATAGTGACTCGGATGAATAGCTCGACCCCAAAAAACTTGCGGTTCTCCCAGTCAACCCTTCATGACGTAAACAACTCACATTTCGCGCATGAACAGTTTGTGTCAGTGGATTCGTGTAACTCCCAGTATGTAACTTGCCATATTTGTATTCCAACTCTTGTCATTTTCGGCACTAAGTTATGATATTCCCTCGTGGTTGGGTTTTGTCTTCATTTTGCATTTTGTCCATGTCATGCATCTCATATCACGTCATCATGTGCATCGCATTTGCATACGTGCTCGTCTCATGCATCCGAGCATTTTCCCCGTTGTCCGTTTTGCATTCCAGCACTCCTACGTCCTCCGGTGTCCCCTTTTGCCTCTTTTCGTGTGCGAGTGTTAAACGTTCTCGGATTGGACAGAGACTTGCCAAGTGGCCTTGGTATACTACCGGTAGACCGCCTGTCAAGTTTCGTGCCATTTGGAGTCCGTTTGATACTCCAACGGTTAACCGAGGAACCGTAAAGGCCTCGTGTGTGTTGCAGCCCAACACCCCTCCAAAGTGGCCAAAAACCCACCTAAACCCCCTCCATCCTCTTGGTCGTTCGATCACGATCGCGTGGCCGAAAACCGCACTCCATTTGGAGTCTCCTAGCTCCTTCTATGTATAAATAGGCCTCCCCCTCCGAAAATTCGGGTCCAAACCCTAGCCTTCTTGCACCCCGCGCTGCCGGACACGTCCACCGCGCCCGCGCCAGCCAACCGCCGCTCGACACGTCACCCGGGCCGCGCCCCACTTCGCCGCCGCCGCCGCTGAAGCCCGCAGGGCCTGCGGGAGGTCCTCCCGGCCCGGATCGGGCGTCGCCGCCCCGCGCGGGACCCCGTCGCCTTGCGCCTAGCACCCTCCGCCGCCCGAGTCGCCGGCGCTCGCCGCCTCTTCGCCGGATCCTCTCCGGACGCCGCGCCGCCCGGCTGCCGCCGACCTGCTCCTCTGCCCCGCGCCAAGCGCCGCCCCGCCGTCCTCTGCCTCCTCTCCAGCGAGCCGGCTCCGACGACCTCTTCCCTCGACTCCGGCCGCCGTCCGCGACAACTCCAGTCAACTCCTTCGGCTTCGGCGAGACCCCAGCCAACCTCGGGAACCGTGTCCCCAGATCCAGATCCAAAATTCTAGGGTTGACCCCGTTTTCTTCCCAAGTCCTTGATATTTTTCGGCATGTTCATCGCATCATAACTTTGCATCCTTAGCTCCATTTTGGGCGTGTAATATATCAAATTGTTCGCCTGGATGTGCTCTTCATTTCATTCCATTGCACCGTGCTTGTTTGAGTCCATCTTGATACCTAAAATGCTGTTGCAAGAGTGCTATAAAAATGTTAGTTTCTGTTTCTTAACAGATTATGGACATTTGTCATTTTTGTCATGTTTAATGTGTGCCTTCTATGAATTTGAGCCCTACATGTGTTTTGGGCTATGCCATGCCATCTTTACAGGGGTGTATGCTATGTATTTTTTGATTATTGTGGTAACTAGCACAAGCATGCAAAGTAGCTCTCGTGATGTTGCTGATTTCAGGGACTTAGAATCCTTCTAAGTCATTTCCCTGATGTTATTTTTATGCCATGTATTCATGTTGCTACAGAGTGATCCATGCCTCGTTTGAGCATGTTCAGTAAGGATATTTTGAGATATTGTTATGTTCTATCCATCCATGTCTTTGTTTGCAATTATGGAGTACCCTAGCATGACTCAATCTTGCTCTACTTTTGCTATAAAATGTTCCTGGCAGATTGTTTACATGTTATTCAATTTTTCCAAGGTTGTTGTCGTTGATCCTTGCATGCTATGAGATGGTTCTTGTCATGGTTAGCTTCTTGATCATGTCTTCTTGCTGGGTGCATGCTTAGTTTGTCATGCAATGCCTTGTGGTGAGTGCATCGAGCTCGCAAACATGCCTACGTAACTCTGTTTTTTGCCATGTCCAGTTTTCTGCTAAATTTGAATTTGTTAACGAAACTTGCTATGTTTCCATGGGTGCAATCATATTTTCTGATCCCTTTTGGCTTATGGTCTGTAAGGGACTTTTGTTATATGCTTTGAATAGTTTCATGCCATGCCTTGCTTTGCCATGATATGTTCCTGTAGCATATTGTTATCTTACTCCCAACATTGCTTCTTGATATTAATTCCTGGCATGTTGTTATTTTCTGCTAAGTCTATGAACCTGATATCTTTTGCATTTTTGGCATGTTTGTTTGAACCTGCTATTTTGTGAATTAGCCGTAGCTCAGTGTTCATCTTTTGTCAAGCATCTTGAGTGGACAACTACCATGTGCTTTGTCGCTATGTTAGAGTGCAGTAGCTTAATTTCTTGTTGCATTCTAGATGGCATCGTGCTGTTAATCGCAGAATTGTGCCATTGTTGTTTTGCTTGCCATTGCAAACCGTGCATCCGATTCCGGTGATCTTTATATCGACTTCGACCGAAATCAACTCATCTTTCCAGCGGCGCTCTTGGTTTGCCAAGTTGAGGCCTGTTTCAATCTTTCCCTTCCGAAGCACGCATATGCATTGCATTTTACATCCCGCATATCATGCCTTGTTTTGCATCATGTTGTTTGCGCCGTTGATAGATGATAGTGTGGGATACCTACAACCGATTCTAGATGGCTTATGGAAGCAACCGTTGATAGATGATAGCGTGGGATACCTACAACCGATTTGGATGACGGTCCAACGATAGTATATGTGTATAAACATCTAGTCTTATTTGTGCCGGTTGTGACCTTGTTCATCTTTTTTGTATCTCTTTTTGTGATTTTGTACCGTACCTCATATTTGTTGGAGACTTTGTTTAATAATACGTATGTATGCATGTATCATTGTGATGTAGAGGCTGAAGATTTTTCTCCTTTCTAAAAAAGCTAAAGCTAAGAAAAAAAGAATTGCCCAGCTAATTACACAAAATTGGGCGAAAACCATCATAACATGCCCAACGATGGCATTACTAGTTGGTCTGGCTACCCACAAGACCCACACACATCATTGAAGAAAGAAACACCGTCAGGGTTGCCCATAGACTGTCATCGTGACACTTCTCCCCAAGCAAGTGACTTTGATTTTATTGTGTCCAACCAACAGACACACGAGAACCCTGCTGGACATGCCAAACAGTTGGCCAGACGCTGCCATAAGGCAGCCAACCGAAGCCCCCACTAGTCGCCCGCATTCTTCGATTCGCCACATTGTCATCTTTTGCGTGTTCCCTTCGGGCATCAGCCAACAATGACACAATCCAGCCATGTCAACTCGGTCTTCATCTCATTTTTGTCTTTCTATGGATGGCGACATCGCGGTCGACCTCGGCGTCTCCAGCTCTGGCTCGATTTGTGACTCCCCTCCAAGGTCAACCGCGTTGCCTCCGGTTCCATTTCAGTCGGACGCCGTTGTCTCGGGCTTGGTGGGCTGGACCCATTAAAGCCCAGGGTACGAGATGCTTTCGTATTTGCGCTTCGCAAATACTTTCTCCACTAGGGTTTATTAGCCCCTCTCGTATTTTATGTTAAATTTTGATCGTAAATTTGACTGGCAAAATAAAAGATATATGCCACATAACTTTTTTTGCGAGAAAAACTTCCAATCTATTCATTTTTAATCATGACAGTATAATGAACACCAGAAATAATAAAAATTATATCCAAATTCATAGATCACCCAGTGACGACTACAAGAATGGCCCCATTAAAAACTTCTTTCGAATACGAATCAAACAACATAATTTTATGATATATAACTTACTTTTCCTGATCAAATCTTTGATGAAATTTTGTTCCAAAATACAAGGCGACCATTAAATCAGAACCAAGTAGGATTTTTTTGACAAGTAAGTAGGATTATTTTTATGCGTATTAGGTTTTCCTTTTTCTTTTTGACAAGTAAGTAGAAATCTTTATGCGTACTGGTGACTCATTTGGACCATAATAAGGGTTAGAGTCACAAAGGAAAGCCCGAGAGATGGATGATTGGAAAGCCCAGACGAGATGGGCCAAAATGTGCCCATAAACGCACAAAACATCCCATTCCATCCCGATATTTGGGGTCACACTCAAAACCCTCGTCTTTGTGGGCTGTGGCACCGCCCGACCGCCGGCTCCGATCATGGCCGGCGACGGCGACCTCGCCCCCCGACGCCTCCGCCAGCAAGTCGCCCTCGCCTCCGACCACGACTTCGCCTTCCAACTCCAGCTCAACGAGGCCATCCAAGCTTCCCTCCGCGTCCCTACTCCCAACCGGCCCTCTTCCAGCGCCGCCGCCGCCGCCTCCTGCTCTTGCCGCTTATGTCAACCCGCCCCTCCGCTCTGGTCCTCCGAAGCCGCCGAACTTGCGCGCCAAGAGAAGAACCGCCGCGACGCGCAGGCCTTCCGCGCCGCCCACGCCCAGGCAAACACCTCTGCCCGCGTCGCCTCCCGCGGCGCCCTCTTGGCGCGCGAGCTCGCCGACACTCCAGATCGCCGACGGGCCCACGGCGGAGACCACTTCGAGCGACCTCTGGATCCAAGCCGCGCCCCTCTCTTCCGCGTCTTCTACAAGGGATTGTCGAACAAGGAGGGCGCGGGGAGGTGGGGCGTCCCGGACCCCCGCGACGCGGTGCTCGCGGTGGCCGTGTACGATCCCCGGGGGAAGGTGGTGCGCACCACACAGAAGCGCGTGGAAAGTTTCGAGGGCGGGCGCATGGAGCTCGAGGTGCTGGCGCTCATGGAAGGCATCCACGCTGCGCTCGAGCTGGGGATACGATGGGTCAACATTGTCTCCGACTTCAAGGCGCTGCACAAATATGTATGCCTTAATGAAACCTCTAGATCTGTGCATCTGTCGTCTATCTTAATGCAGTACTTCTTACACGGCAAATAGTAGATGCTTATTTGAAGGGCTTGAAATTACAGGTCCATACAGTCAGAGGATCTGCTTCTATAAGGTTGCTGTCGCAGTATACATGTTTGGTATTCATGATTAGGGTACTCGACAGTTTTTCCATGGTTTCAACTGTGATGTCTTACTAGAGATGTCACCTAAGAGGAAATGCGAAATATAATGGATGATTTGTCGATATGGAGATTTCGGTGTTTATTTGCAATGTTAAAGGAATTCTAGACTGCTAGAGTTTATATAAAGAGATGATTAAATCATCACATAGTCCCATCTCTAGCTAAATGTAGGCGAAACATAAATTTGTAGCACTATTTCAATGCTCATTATAATTAGTTGTACAAACATTCAGTTCCACTACCTGCTATTCTTGCTTATCGCACTGCAAGAAAAGTAGAAGTAATCCCTCAGTTTTGTGTGAATTTTTCTTAGTGCAGGTGCTTCTCTCTATTGATCATTCCTCTTTCCAATATTTTTTGGTGCACATGTTCTTTTTTGTATTATCATGTTCATACAAAATTGCAAGTACTCCTGAGTTCATGTTTCATGCTTACTAGGACAAGACTAACATGGGACATCTGTAGGAAGGGAATTTTGGTTCTAAGTTCGATGTAGAAGTACTTGCTCACTCACATTCTACAGTTTGTGTACATGTGGAGATACTTGATGTACATGTAAACTAGCAAGGTGGTCCTTACATTATACTCCCTCCGTCCCATAATATAAGAGCGTTTTTGACAGTACATTAGTGTAAAAACGCTCTTATATTATGGGACGGAGGGAGTAGTAGTTAGATTCATTGTGCATTACCATATTTGGTGTTTCCTTTTTCTCAAGTCTGTTAGCTTGCTTTCCTTGATTGTAGCCTATTTACTGATTATTATACTATATTTTATATGTTCGGGTGACTTTGCATCGACTTCCAAAATTGTAGAAAGATCGTAGCTGGAAATCATCTTGAGAAAACACCATTAAAGTTTCTGTATGAAAATTTTCATTCCGTCAATATGCCGATCTTCCATTAATTTTAGCTATAAGAACTTTCCTAAAAGCTAATCTCCTGTCATTAACTTTATTTCTTCTTTACTTGTGTTATTCGTGCATTGCTCTTTGTCAATAGTCAACTAAGCACAAGTCAAGATCAGCTCAATATGTACCATGTTGAAGACTGATGGCATGCAAGTAGGCGTCATCCAGTATGCAAGACCATATGAAGTCTTCTCTTCTGTAGCTTCGACTTATCCACTGCTCCATGAATGCCAATTTATCCACCAATAATTGAAGCAAAATTTCCATGGTTATCTACCCATCCACCTTATCAATCAGTATGAGGCAGAACTTAAAAAAATTCAGTGTGATGCATCTTTGAGTAGCATGACATTATGCCTGAGAAGCGTTCCACTATACTTTATCATACCTCGCCGTTGTCAGTTCCGTAGCCGGCACTCTCTCTGTCTTCAAGTCCTCCCTTCAATACTCTGATTGCATCCAGTGTCAGACCTAACACACACCAAAGAAATGTGAGAATGTAGTTACAGTCTTACAGATGTCAAAAGGTCAATATCTCGTTCTCTTGTTCCATAGATGGGGCGTCCTATCCAATGGATGAATGAGGAGAATCTGTTGAGTAGTGAAATGATAGGATTCTGCTTCCCCCCACGCGTTTCTAGGTCTCTTCATCAACAGAGAAACCTACCACATAGACTCACGAAATTAGGGGAGGTTTATATATATTGTAGATCTCTTTGCTTATCGTTGCATCAACCCCTCTGCATGCATATGATCTCAGTTGAGTTATTTTTGTAGAAATTGAGTTTGCTTATACATGTTAAGAGTGAAACTTGACCTGGTATGTTAATATTCATCATAATCTAAGATTCTTTTATTGAAGCGCACCTTATATTATCTAATAAATATGTGTTGTCATAACAGTTTAGTTGATGAAGAGGCGTTTTTGTGTCATACCTACGCAGTTCAAGTCCTAGGACCAGTTTGTTTGCAAATATTTCGTCAACGATAATGATCCTATATAATTTTCTGTAAAAATAAATGAGATCACCATCAGTTGTGGTTTATATGTTTGTCATCCTATTACTGTGTTACACAATTAGCTTATAGGACTTTTGTGCCTGCCGAATTTATCAACCCATGGGAGTCTTAAAGGAATTCTTAATTGAGGTTAGGCATATTGAAAGGAAAAAAAACATAGTTTCCTTGCATTCTCTTCTTAATTATGCAAAATTACTATGGTGCGTCCGTATATCTTCAGAACAGTTCCTCTTGTTTGTGATCATATAGGATTGTACTGTCACTCCTATCCTATTCATGTACATTTTCTGTTTCTATCCAAAGAGACGCCAGAAATGCACCTACATTTAGAAATGCTCTTACAGCTGGCATGAGACTGCAAGCAAGTGATACTACAGGGAGAGATCAGTGTGCAACATCCACTGTGTAAGCTTGACTAAAGTGCTACGTGTCTAACATCCAACCTTGGTATAAGTTGTATACACATGAGTTTTGGTTATCGACTGATATTACGTCCAACCTTGGTATAAGTTGTATACACATGAGTTTTGGTTATCGACTGATATTACGTCCAACCTTGGTATAAGTTGCATACACATGAATTTTGGTTATCGACTGATATTCTGATAACATAGCATATTAATGCAAGAATTTTAGTGTCAAGACATTCATGATTTTGAGATCCAACGTTTGACTAGATTGTAGATCACTCCCCACCAAGGGTAAAGCCCTAGGACAGTTCAAGTATCTTGCTTTAGTTTGAATCTTGATCCTTAAATTGTAATTTCGGATCCATTCTTGTATCCTACCATGCTTGTTTATAAGTAATATCTGTAGCACTAGCTCGAACCTTGAGCCTCATACTCTAGTTCTATTTATTTTTCTTGTCTAAAACCACCTTCCGCATTAATTTAAATTCATCTCCTGTTTCTGTAAACAAATGTGTTTATCTCTACTTCTATAAAAGACTCAGTTGGTGATGATGGTGTGTCTGCCATCCGTCATTTTTGACCATCAAATCTGCATCTAACGACTGTGATATAAGCTGTGGCATTTTTGCAACAAGACCCCACTTATCTGCTTCAATTTGCAGAAACCCCTTACTATCTTGAAACCAACCATATCCCTCCCCCACTTCATCAAAACAGCCACGAGGAATATATTTTGAGTGAAACCTAATACGAGTATATTTTTAATGATATATTTTCTTTTTCTTTTTCTATTTTCTAGAATAAGTATGCTCTGGAGTAAAAGGATTCGAACCTTTGCATGCCGGTACCAAAAACCGATGCCTTACCACTTGGCTATACTCCAAACGGGGGGAAGGCTCGATGAAAACGAGCTGGGATATAGATTTTTCAGAAGGAAGAGTTAGTTACCCTCGGTCTTCCTTCTTTCCCGGGAATCAAGGAAGTAGTAGCGGGACAGTCCTTTATTTCCCCCTTTAGACCAACTACAACAAGCTCGCTCCTTAGGTTAGCTCTCTGCTCTACCTATTTGTTTGCAATGCCTTGCTTATCAAAATAGGCCTTTCTGTAACTTGACCTTACGCTGAAAAACTGCACTTGTTGGCTCTGCGTCCACTGAAACTTATGAAAAAGAAATGTTATTCTATCGATATCTTCAAGAGTTCCCTAACCCCCTGACTGAGAGTGCTATGTACCAAAACTAGAGTGTTTATCTTTCAAGTTTGTGGACATGTATTATTTTACTTTGGATCCGTTGCAACGCACGGGCACATTGCTAATAAAGAAAAGAAAGTTGTTATCGCTTTAAAGACAAAAGTGCTAAGTATGTTGGCTAGCAGAAATCTTGCGTTGTTTGAGTTTGTGAACAATTGGAAATTAGATAGGATACTTGCGCAGATCGCATAGTGCTAGGGCCTTTTATGTTTGCTTCGCCGGACTCCAAACTAAGTATGCCGTGCATAACAATTATGGACTCCCTTTGTATATAGTATAAAAGTTGTTGCCAATATATTTGATATATTTAAAAAATCTCAAACAAGATTTATATTCCATTTAATATCATTAGTGTAGTCTAATCAATCTCAATTGTTATAATCTTGACCTACCTGTAGATTTTTCTCATCTTTTCCGTTAATTAAGAGTTTTCAGGCTTTTATATCAAACATGGTAGCTATGTTCAGGTTATTCACTTATCCTAGCAGTAATTTACCATCTCACACTGATTATGTATTCTACAATCAGGATGGTTAAACTTACCAATCACTTTAGGCCATAGTACACACTTGTTTTCTCCCAGTTTTGATTATTTTGCTTCTCGTTTTCTCCTTTTTGGTATGCATGCTTTTTTTTCGTTTGACATGCATCCTCTAGATGTGGATTTCAGCTAGCAATGTCCCGCCAAGAAATTCTTGGAATAAGCCTAGTATCTACTAAACAAGAGGAGCAGCCTTAATACAATTTACATCACCTATGCGACTATGCGAGGACTTGTGTCTGCTTTGCATGGACCCTTTTTGCTCCAACTTTTGATCTCTGTGTGTCGTGTCTTTTTATAGGACACTGCATTACTCTTTGTATTTCCCATCGTCAGGTTTTCTGAACACAAGCTCCAACAGGACGTATATAAGGTGTCTGATTCAATTGTTGTAGAAGATTAGTTTGAGCTGTTCTTTTTTCTATTACTGATGTCTTATTAATCTGAACAATTGTTTTTTATTGCGTTAACAATGTAATAGATAGATTTAATGGTCAAGTGATTGAATTCATTTGAACTGCACTGATCTTATTACGTTGTCATATTCATCCAGATGCTTGGAACTTGGCGTCCCACAAAGAGTAAGATTGAAGATATGGTAAATGAGGCTCTTTCACTGATGAGTAAATTCAAGCAATGTGAATTCTCACTTATTCCTCGAGGCCAAGTCGGTTATGCAACAAAATTAGCAACAGAATTGGTAGGTACCAAGAAGAGAGAGACCTGCGCCATCTGTTTGGAAGACACTGATCTTTCTAAGATTTACGCAGTTGAAGGTTGTGCACATCGGTTTTGCTTCTCCTGCATGAAAGAGCATGTGAAAATTAAACTACTTGGTGGAACGCTTCCAGCTTGTCCACAAGATGGTTGCACTACCAAACTAACTGTGAAAGATTCAAAGATATTCCTGTCACCACAACTGTTAGAGATCATGGTGCAACGTATCAGGGAAGGACAAATCCCTCCTACTCAGAAGATCTATTGCCCGTACTCCAAGTGTTCAGCCTTGATGTCTTTGAGAGAAGTGATAAGCTCATGGGCCTTAATGTACACTGTTGCTGGAGGTCCAACGTTGAGAAAGTGTATCAAATGCAAGGGTTTGTTCTGCATCAGCTGTAAGGTCCCATGGCATGCTGGGATGAGTTGCTCTGACTACAAGAGAAAGTATCCTCACGTTCGTCCAGAAGATGCCAAGCTGCAGAACCTTGCACAGCAGCGGTCGTGGCGCAAGTGTGTCAAATGCAACCACATGATTGAACTCGCAGAGGGTTGCTACCATATAACTTGCGTGTAAGTATTTACTTCTGGCTGTGCCATTCTCATACACATCTTTACTATGTTCAGTGATTTTTCATGTCTTCTGTGTGCTAATGCTCATTCTGCAGCCTCAAGACTTGTTTTCTGTTAACCTTTGCTGCATCTGTTCCCGCTTCTTGCAGGTGCGGCTATGAATTTTGCTACACCTGTGGGAAAGAATGGAAGGACAAGAAGGCGACTTGCTCCTGCCGGCTGTGGGATGAACGCAATATAATCCATGATCGAGGAGGACGGCGGTGATCACATTACTGACGATTACGAGGGTGATAATCTTTCGTATGTCGGACAAGGCCTTGTGAGCTGTGACTATAACCTGGATTACAGTCGGTGTGATGGAGGGGTTCGTTGCCATGATTATTGTCTATTTCTGTCATTTGGATCGCTAGTCTATCGTCCAGAATTTCAGAACCAACTTGTTTTTCCGCTGCCTGTGCCAATGTTCTACCGTACTGTTTTCACATCTGACTGACAGGTAGTCTGTAGCCAGTAGTTTGTCTCGCTGTGTTTTAGTTTCTTTACTTTTGATGTATGAACTTCTGGTAAAATGCGGTTTTCCTTTTATGGAAATCGACGGGGTTGCCTGTTGTTTAAAACCGATGTATTTCTGCTGGTCATGAATGCACAATATTTCGTGGTATGCGCACATGGATTTCCAACAATATATATTTTCATACTTGGTGTACATAAAAAAGACAAATATGTATATTAAAATGGGAGGGAGTAGTTGGTGTACTTGCTTTGTAAAGTTGTACTAAAGCAACGTCAATTAATATGAATCGGACGAAGTAATATTTTTGAAACTTGTAAATAGCATTTCCGGTCTATCCAAAACTTCTCACTCTTCAGCAGGAGCTAGTATGATGTATGGGTGCATGAGGCTGTAGGCAGACATCAATGTTTTTTTTTCGTTTAGCATAGACAAGGTTTTATTCACATGCTTTACAATACTTGGTTTTGTTATATTTTAGGTGTGTGAACAGAGAGACCTATAATTGAATTTTCTCGAATACAAATCTTGTAGTAATAAAATATTAGGGATGTGCACCATATGATACAGAGGACATGGAAGGTTTTCTTCTCTGTTATAAAAACATTGAACACCCTGTCATAACTTTTATCCGCTCCATACTGCATTAAAACACTTATAGAACAGCGAGCTAATTCAGGTCATGGATGACTATTCAAAGAACTTAGATCCTGAATTAACTTGGTGCTGGATCTTTTTCATATATATTTTCAGTCATGAAAACCAACAACGGTATGGTTTAGGTTGAGATCAGCCAAAACTTCAAATTGTTGCAGCCAGATGATGTCTTGAATATTTCTTGTGTGTGAACAGAGAGACCTATACTTGATTTTTCTTGCATCAACAAACATATTTTTTTTTATAAATAAAGATAGTGCAGTCGATTTTCTTGAACAAACTAAAATAAACACAGCTATGTAAACTGGATAACAAAATAAACATTACATCAAGGTATTATGATGGTATGCGTATTATTTGGTCTGAAAAAATGTATGTATTCTACTATTATAAAAGTACATTTTTAAGATTAAGCAAAAAAAACCTTTATTAGACCTTTTTTAGTGAGATATGTAAGACCAAGAATGCTACAACAGATATTTGGGCTGACAATTGGCTCTCTCTAGAGGAGATGATGAGACCCTATGGTTGCCTAATTCCAAACCCGCCAAATACAGTGTTAGAGTTGATCAATACTACTTCGGCATCATGGATTAGACAGAAAGTTGAGCAAGTTTTTATGCCAATGGACGTACCTATCATTCTTGGCATCCCTTTATGTACAAAAAATATGGATGATTTCTGGAGCTGGAAATTCTAGCGGCATGGTAATTTTTCTGTGAGTCAGCATACAAGATGCTCGTCACCAGCAGACAAAGGAGAGAGGCATGGCTCATCTAGCACGGCGAAGGAGGAGGGCAACTGGAAGGGTATGTGGAAGACACAAGTACCGGCGAAGATCCGAATGTTCCTCTGGACACTTGCCCGACAATCAATTCGGTCCGACCAATGACATTAGAGTGCATCAACATATGACTGACACGAGTGCATGTGGTTTCTACGGGATGGAGGACTCTTGAAACATACGTTGGTTGAGTGCACGGTCTCTCAAGGTGCACATGGGCTTTGGTGAACCATGAGTTGGCTTAAAAGCTAGCAACAACTGCTTAACCGAATTGGAAACGTTGGTTGTTTACTCTCAGGGATCGGTCACTTTGTGGGCGATCTGGTCGGCTAGACGAAGGCGATTCATGAGGGTATTTTCTAGAGCCCTAAAGGAACTCATTCTTTCATCACGGGGTTCATTGCAGAGCTTGACATACTCAAGGACAAGCAGTCAGTGTCGGGCGGGGGGCGAACCGTGAATCCAAAAACTGTCAACCAGCGATCAAAAGCCCCCCCTCAAGGCTTCGTGTGATTCATGTGGACGCTGGTGTCTGGCAAGGAAGAGGAGGCTCGGCGGCTGCGGTGTGTAGAGATAGAGATACAAGGGGTTGACGATCCTGCGACTATGGAGGCTATCACATGTAGGAAAGAAATATCTTTGGCGAAGGACCTTCGCATTCAACAATTATATTGTTGCTTCAGACTCAAAACAAGTGGTGGATGATATAAAAAACAACAGTCGTGACACTTATGGGGCCATCATCAGCGAGTGGTCGTTAGAGAGTCGTTATTTCGGTGTAACTTTACTTCTGAAGGCCGTGCCGTCAACTATGAGGCACGTAGTTTAGCCAAATTTGCTTTGTCACTAGGTCCGTGGCGTCACGTTTGGCTTGGCGATTCCTATGACTTGAATTGCATCCCATAATTTGTGGCTTATGATGAATAAAAACTTCGTTTTCCCTTAAAAAATGAGAAATAATGCTCTCTTTTTTTGGGAGAGAACTCTCCCGGGTTGATGGTATACCTGGCCATTTGTCAGACCGGGCCTAATAAAGCCCGTAGCAAAAAACCTAGGTCTGGGCCTGGCCGTTGGGCCTAGATTTCAGGTGCAAGCCCGGCCCATTAGTGGAAAAGCCAGTCGAGCCTCGGGCTGGACCCCTTCCCTAAAACGCAAATATGACAAAACTGTGCCCAGCCCGGCCTTTGGGCTCAAAACTTAGGCCCAGACCCGCCCCGTGGGCAAGACCGTGCTGGGTCGGGTGGACACCACGGACGGACGCCTGTAGCTCGCGAGTCACTAATAAAGGCCCATTTCGGGCAATATGGGCCGCCCGTTTCACATTCAAGCCTGATCGTCAGCGGGTGGCTGGGTGTGCAGCCAGCGGGCTCGGAGGCTCCGCGACGACGCGGCCGGCGGAGGAGCCGCAGCGTTACGTGGTGGTGCTGCCGGCTCTCGTGTCTCTCCCCCTTTTTTTTTTGGTTCTTCTGTGCTTCTTCCCCCTCCCCCTATCGCCGGGAACTGGGGCTACGACTGCACACGCGCCACGTCTCGCTCGCACCCCTCCCCCCTCGCCGCCGATGAGCTGCCGCGCGGCTCCATGGGGCCGCCCGTCGCCCCCCCGCGGCCGGCCCTTCCCCGCCTCGGCGCGCCTGCACAGCCCATTCGGTGAGTCCGCAAGCCCCCCCAGCTCTCTTCCAGCGACCAGAGTTCTCTAATTTAAGCTCCATGTGGAGAATATTGTGGGCATACTCGACCCCCACTTTGCGTGCTCTTGTGAGCGCTCCAGTTTCGAGAAATGGGGTGATTTGGAAAGTGGTGGATTCGGTAGGTGACATTTTGTTCTCTGGCTAATTGACTGCTCCTTGGATCCTGGCAGGGGGTATGAATTCGTGGAAGAATCCAGTTCTCAAAAACTCGTGGAGAATCGGTGATGTCCCGGCGATGTTTGGGCTGCCGTCTGGACTGTTCAGATGCATGGCTTCAAATGGCTCCGGGGATGCTGGGTTTTCTCGTCCTCAATCAATTGATGAAGCACCGATGCCGCTGTACCCCTGGCCAGACAAGCAGGTATACTGGATTTTGACTACCCACATCCTTAAATCCATTGTTATATGATTTCTTTTCCTGTTTGATTAGCACACTGGTAATTCTATCAATGTGTGTTTTACGAATCAAGTCCTCTACAGCTCTACTCCTTGACAGAGCATTCTTTAGCTGTTTTAGTAGTACTGATGACTTGTGTATGTAGAGTTTGCAGTTTTGTGCTAACTTAGTCCCAGTGAACACACTTTGGTTTGGCACACTTCATTCAGATATACCCAAATAGATCTTATGTTCAATAAAACACTTCAGCAGTATTGTTTTGATATATGACAACTCTAGAGTTTAACTGCCTGATGGGGAGACATTATTCACATGCAGGGAATTTTTTTTTGGAGGAATTGTGTGTCCTTTTTTTTAGATCAGGGTGTTCTTACATTTTGCTTCCGGAGTTCATGTCCTTCCATGCAGTTTTCTGTATGTAGGGTAACTTGTGAGTATTATTGTTCAGCAGAAAGTTTGGTATGCTTCTGCTATATGCCTTATGCTCCATTTACTGAATATGTTCTCTTGTTTTCAGCGGCCACGGGTATGCATTTTGGGTGGTGGATTTGGTGGGCTGTATACTGCTCTGAGACTAGAATCTCTTGTATGGCCTGGTAATAACAAGCCTCAGGTAAAATGATGGTGCTCTTGTGCTAGAAACTTATAGATTTTCTGGGTGCTACCCCTTCTTACGTCGAAGTAGCATGGGTTGGTGGTATGTGTGTTTGCTCAAGAAATGATGTAACATTTTACTAAGAAGGGAAAAAAATATTTCAGGTGATGCTTGTTGATCAATCTGACAGATTTGTATTTAAGCCCATGCTATACGAGCTCTTATCAGGAGGTACTCCAATTTCAAGTGTAAAAATGCTTTTGCTGGTAAATATTATACTCCCTCTGTCCGGAAATACTTGTCATAGAAATGGATACAAATGGACGTATTTAGAACTAAAATACATCTAGATACATCCATTCCTCGGACAAGTATTTCCGGATGGAGGGAGTATATGGGGTCTTTTCACATTATTTCATGTTTTGACTGTTGGATTTTAATTTGGATGCCAGAGGTGGATGTCTGGGAAATAGCTCCGTATTTTACGGAGTTACTGAAGAACACCAGTGTTCAATTTGTGAAGGATAGTGTAAAGCTTCTTCGCCCTTCTGATCACTTAAGAAGGGAGCCTGGAGTGTCATGCACTGGCGGAATTGTTCATCTTGAAAGTGGCACCGTTGTTGAATATGATTGGTATGATGATATTAAATGCCATGGAATTGCAATAGCTGTCATGTTTAGGCTTTTTGAAAAAAAAAACAAATTTAAGAATTATATTTATCTTCACAATGTTTCTTCTTTATGAATTATTTTAAACATGGGGCTGATTGTTCTATGCTGCTAAAAGGTTTTGAAACTTCGAACACATTGTGGGTCTTACTGACATGTAGATCTGATCCCACCTTTTCAACCTCACAAGTGACAATGCAACTGCGCATACAAAATTCTTAGAATCGCCTCTTCGTACACAATACCTGATTGTCATTTGGCGCCCTTTCCTTACATCAGCCTGTTCCTGAATCCGACATGAATCAAAATTTCTCATGTACCCGTATAGCCCACGATTCATCTTCTGTCAATACTCTGTATCAGGGAACTTTAGCAATAATGCAATATTAATCTGTATAATACACGTACTTCCTTTAGCTGTTATGATTGAAATATGTAACACAAATAGTGATGTATTTTACTTCATATTTTATGTCGATTTTTTTTTTGCTGGGATGTTCTATGTTGAGTTTAGAATAAGCTAACTGGTGATATATCTTTTGGAATGGGCAGCCAGGCTCGTTCTAGCTCTAGGGGCTGAAGCTAAGATTGACGTCGTTCCAGGATCTGCCGAGTATGCACTTCCTTTCACAACTTTGGAACATGCTTTGGTAAGAATCAATCATTTGTTGAAATATTTTAAAGTTCAACTGTTCATCATCTACTGTTTGGGATTGCTAAGTTGATAGTGATACTAATCTAAAATACATCAGTGATGTCTGTAACTCTTGACGCATCCACGTTAATTATATGATTTTATTGGTTTTTAATAATATCTCTTGTTGACATGTTCTGGCAATTCTTTATGTATAACAAGTTCATATTGTATGACTTATGGTAATCATCAAGAATCATAATGTCGCCTTATTTTATCTGCAGAAAGTTGAAAGTGAATTGAAAATGTTAGAAAGGGGAAGGTTTGGTAAGAAGTCCCCACCTATTCAGGTGGCCATTGTGGGACTGGGTTACTCTGGTGTTGAGCTAGCTGCCACTATCTCTGAGAGATTAAAGAACACAGGGACTGTCAAAGCAATCAATTTTCAAACAACCATCTGTCCTAACGCACCACCAGGAAATCGTGAAGCTGCTCTGAAGGTGATTACCTAAGGATCTACACATTACAGACTGTTTTGATTAACTTCATCTGATCATCTCAGGAAATTATAACAGAAGATTAAAAAACTTTTGTTCCCTACTTCGGTTTTTGGTGCCACTAGTAGTCCTAAGACTATAATCTGAAGTTAATAATAACATAAGATGCTGCATGTGCAATGTAAGACTTTGCGTCAGCCAAACTATGTTGTGGCTTCTTTCTTTCTTCTCCTCTCTGTTCCTTTTGAAAGACTGTTGCAGCTTTAATGCAACAGTGCTAACTTGATAAATATCAACCAGGCAACCACTTACTAATCTGTCATCAAACTGTTCATTTATGGACTATATAGAATTATTTAGGCAACAGTGCTAACTTGATAAATCCCAACCAGGCAACCACTTACTAATCTGTCACCAAACTGTTCATCTATGGACCATGTAGAATACAGCATAGAGAAGTGCAGGCTGTTTATTTATATCATTGTGCTGGTCCTCGATACCTATCGTTTTCATGATTTCTTTGCTGAACTCCAAAATGAAAGGGAATTCTATCTTCCGTGGTAGTAGCTAATTTTGGTTTGGTTGCATTTCCTACCAGGTTCTCGAGTCTCAAAATATTCAACTTTTCTTGGGATATTCGGTGAACTGCATCAGAGAGGTTTATGCATCTGAGGATTCAGGTAGCATGGTTGCAGATGCAAAAGAAGCTGGTGGTGGCTATAAGAAACTAGTTTTGGAACTTCAAGCCGCTCAAAGAGGCCTCCAGAGCCAGGTTCTGGAGGCTGATCTGGTACTATGGACGGTGGGCTCACAATCTCAGATTCTTCGGCTACAACCTCCTGATGCCCCATACGTTATTCCTTTGAATGGCCGGGGGCAAGTGGAGACAGAGGAAACCCTTCAAGTAAAGGGCCACCCCCGAACATTTGCAATTGGTGATTCAGCAGCTCTAAGAGACCCATCAGGAAAATTTCTCCCAGCCAACGCACAGGCAAGGCATCTACTGGATTGAATCTGTCATGATGCTGCATTGGCAGTTTAATGTTGCTAGTGATGACTCTTTTTATCTCCCAGGTTGCTTTTCAGCAAGCAGATTTCGCTGGATGGAATCTCTGGGCGGCAATCAATGACCGGCCCCTTCTGCCGTTCAGGTTCGAACCTAGCAGCAGCATTGTCTTGTTCATTTCGATACACCAAGCATCACCATTCTGCTTGCGGATGTTGGGTCTTTTTCGTGCGAAAAAGTTAAAGTTGTGTAACGAGCTGAGCTGAAACATCCTGTGTATTTTCCAGGTTTCAAAACCTTGGTGAGATGATGACGCTGGGTAGAAATGATGCTGCGATAACAGCAAATTTCATCGAGGGACTGACCTTGGAAGGACCTATAGGGCATGCTGGTATGGACCTTTGCTGCGATAACAGCAAATTTCTTCGTGTCTTCCGCAAAAAAAAAAAAACTTCTTCGTGTAGGAGTAAAATTTAACCTGGTTGTGCAGCTAGGAAGCTCGTGTACTGCCTCAGGATGCCCACTGATGAGCACCGGGTGAAGGTTGGAATCAGTTGGTTCGCAAAGGGCGCTGTCGATTCGCTTGCCTCTCTGCAGACTGCAGTAAGTAACATAATCGCAAGCTCCTGATGGTAAAGGGTACCTGCTAATTCATGAATTGAGTGAGCTGGACGATGTATTTGAGATTGAATTTATGTACGAATTTTCAATTTTGAGCTTACGTTGCACATAACTTCTGAACACAAGTATTTTGAGTATATGTACGTTGCTCCTAAAAGTTTGGCATAAGTATTTTGAGTATACGTACATTTCCTAAACTGAAGATGCCCAAGGGTAAATGCAAATCCCCACCTGAGTGCGCCTACACTCCCACTGTAACCCAAAAAATGTGAAAAAACTCAACCGAGGTCAGTCCCGAGTTCAGCGTAGTGCCTTCAAGAAAAAGTCGGCATTTTTCGCAAAAAAAAAAGTTGGCATTGCAAGCCTTACAATGGAAGGTTGTGATCTTGGTTCTCACAATAATTACATACCAAATTCCCTCAAAATAAATAAATAAATAATTACTAAATATACCGGCTGAAAAGCCCTCGTCACACGGGGAGGAAAAATGAAAAATCAGGGAGGTGCCGTCGTGCAACGATCACGCTCACATGTTTGGTTGGCGCATGGTTGCCGTGGTTGGTGAGAGTTGACTGCGCTTTTGTTACGCCGGATGGCGTGGAGCCAGTACTAAAGTCCACCTCCGTTTGTTGTTGTATAGGTGGCCAGCGCACTTTCCCCGCCCACCACTCCCACCACCGCTCCCCCCACCGCCGCCGACGCCGCCACCAACCGCTGCGCCATGGATCCCGACTCCGAGGTCGCCTTCGACTTCCCGCCCTACCTCTGCCAGTACAAGAGCGGCCGCGTGCACCGCCCGGGCGGCGACGCCATCGCCCCCGCCGGCACCGACCCGCTCACCGGCGTCGTCTCCAAGGACATCCACGCCGGCCCCGCCCGCGCGCGCGTCTACCTCCCGCCCGACGCCTCCGCCGCCGCGGCCCCCGGCAGGCTCCCCGTCGTCGTCTACTTCCACGGCGGCGGCTTCGTGGTCGGCTCCCCGGCCCGCCCCTCCACCCACGCCTACCTCAACGACCTCGTCGCCCGCTCCGGCGCCGTCGGCGTGTCCGTCTACTACCGCCTCGCCCCCGAGCACGCGCTCCCCGCCGCCTACGACGACGGCTGGGCCGCCGTGCGCTGGGTCCTCGCCGGCGGGGACGGCGCCGACCCCTGGCTGCGCGACCACGCCGACCTCTCCCGCGTCTTCCTCTCCGGCTGCAGCGCCGGCGCCAACATCGCGCACAACATGGCCGTCCGCGCCGCCGCGCCCGGCGCGGTGCCGGAGGGCGCCGCCGTCCGGGGCCTCATGGCCGTGCACCCCTACTTCACGGGCAAGGAGCCCGTGGGCGCCGAGGCGGCGTTCGGCCCCGACGTGCGCGAGTTCATGGACCGCACCTGGCGCTTCGTGTTCCCGGGCTCGCTCGGCCTGGACGACCCCAACGTGAACCCGTTCGTCACCGACGAGGCGCGCGCCGCCGTGGCTGGGATCCCCTGCGAGCGCGTGCTGGTGTGCGTGGCCGAGGACGACGTCCTGCTCAAGGAGCGCGGCCTGTGGTACGCCCGCGAGCTCAAGGCCAGCGGCTACGCCGGCGAGATCGAGCTGTTCGAGTCCAAGGGCGTCGGCCACGCCTTCCAGTTCGACCAGCTGGGCTCCGGGGAGGGCGTCAAGCTGCAGGAGCGCCTGGTGGAGTTCATCAAGAAATGAGCGCCTGGTGGATGGATTCGGCATGGAAATCGGTTTCCTGGAAATAAAAGATTAAACTCGGACATTTGATTTGATTCTTCGGATAATCTGTCAAAAGCTTGAGATGTGATGCGTGCGTGCAAAGTTGTATGATGATGATTCGTTGGTGATTATAATAGAGCATTTTCGATCTTGCTTGGTCGATTTGGGCAGAGATGAGTCTCAAGGGGATGTGCGGATCTGGAGGCCCTGAACGAGCTTTGTGGATCAATCGCGAAAGAAAGAGAGAGGGGGGAAGACGAGCTTTGCAGATCTGGAGCCTCCTGTACGGGTTAACGGGTGCCATTCGCTCCACCCGCTCGAATCTCACGCTCCCCTGTTTTGCTAGTAGTTGTCAGAGAATTCCTTATTTGCCCTTGCCCATTTGGAGTGTGCTTTCCTATTGGCCAGTGACAGGTGCCGGTCCCGGCCGAAATTTGGGCCAGTCGGCCCGCAGCCATTCGATTAGGCCACTTCCTGGCCGTTGATTTCTCACATCACGTGTCTCATCTTGTGCTGACCAACATCTTGGAACCATGGTGGACTCGTCCTTGCTGCCTACGGCCAACGGTGCCACCCACGCTCGTCGCTCCGGCCGCCCGTGCTCGCCCCCCATCCGCTCTCGCCCTTCAATAGGTCTCTGTCATCGCTAGCAGCCCCTGCTGCATCTGATGTAGCATGAAAAACATCGCCGTCCCCGAGCATCGCCTGACGTCGTAGCGTCGCCATCACAACCTAGGCTGCCGGTTGCAGCATCTGAGCCCACCGTGCGGTGCGGGTGGGCCTGGGCTATGTGGCTTGTGTGCTCGCGCCCAACGTTCGTAGCGACTGAGGCAGCCGCCCGAAGTTTCGGTCGACTTGTTCAATCATGGCAAAACAACGAACACCAGAAATAATAAAAATTACATCCAGGTCCGTAGACCACCTAGCGACGACTACAAGCACTGAAGCGAGCCGAAGGCGCGCCGTCGTCATCGCCCCTCCCTCGTCGGAGCCGGACAAAACTTGTTGTAGTAGATAGTCGGGAAGTCGTCGTGCTAAGGCCTCATAGGACCAGCACAGCAGAACAGCAACCGCCGCCGATGAAGAGTAGCGTAAATCAGAAGGATCAAACCCGAAGAAACACAAACATAGACGAACTACGACCAAATCCGAGCAAATCCACCAAGAATAGATCTATCGGAGACACACCTCCACACACCCACCGATGATGCTAGGCACACCACCGGAACGGGGCCTAGACTACATCACCAGATGCCTCATCAATTAATTAAGGAGAGAATTGCCCGGTTAATTACAGAAAACTAGGCTAAAACCGATACAATTGAAGAAAATATGCCCCAGAGGCAATAATAAACTTGTTATTTTATATTTCCTCATATCATGATAAATGTTTATTATTCATGCTAGAATTGTATTAACCGAAAACTTGATACATGTGTGAATACATAGACAAAAACACCATGTCCCTAGTAAGCCTCTACTAGACTAGCTCGTTAATCAAAGATGGTTAAGTTTCCTAACCATATAGATATGTGTTTTAATCAAAAACACCGTGTCCCTAGTAACCCATTAGGAGAATGATGTGATGGACAAGACCTATCTGTTAGCTTAGCATAATGATCGTTCAGTTTTATTTCTATTGCTTTTTTCATGTCATATACATATTCCTTTGACTATGAGATTATGCAACTCCCGGATACCGAAGGAATACCTTATGTGCTATCAAACGTCACAACGTAACTGGGTGATTATAAAAATGCTCTACAGGTATCTCCGAAGGTGTTTGTTGGGTTGGCATAGATCGAGATTAGGATTTATCACTCCGAGTATTGGAGAGGTGTCTCTAGACCCTCTCGGTAATACACATCATAAGAAGCCTTGCAAGCAAAGTGACTAATGGGTTAGTTACAGGATGATGTATTACGAAACGAGTAAATAGACTTGTCGATAACGAGATTGAACTAGGTATGAAGATACTGACGACCGAATCTCGGGCAAGTAACATACTGATGGACAAAGGGAATAACGTATGTTGTCATAACGGTTCGACCGATAAAGATCTTTGTAGAATATGTAGGACCCAATATGAGCATCCAGGTTCTGCTATTGGTTATTGACCTAAGAGGTTTCTCGGTCATGTCTACATAGTTCTCGAACCCGTAGGGTCCGCACGCTTAACGTTCGATGATGATTTTGTATTATATGAGTTATGTGATTTGGTGACTGAATGTTGTTCTGAGTCCCGGATGAGATCACAGACATGACGAGGAGTCTCGAAATGGTCGAGAGGTAAATATTGATATATAGGACAATAGTATTCGGACACCGAAAGTGTTTCGGAGGGTATCGGGTACATATAGGGTCACCGGAAGGGGTTTCGGGCACCCCCAGCAAAGATATGGGCCTAATGGGCCAAGAGGGGAAACGCAGTAGCCAGCAGGTGCTGCGCCCCCATATGGGCCTGACCAGAAGGGGAAGGAAAGAGGGGAAGAGAGAAGGAAGGGGAGGGATTCGGCCTCCCCCCATATGGCGATAGAGGAACATATAAAAAATAGGGAAGCTATATCGCGAGCTATTCACTACTGCATGATGGTCCAAACGCGACACTACGATCAGAGACCCTTCGACGAAACTGTGTGCGATGCCATAATCACAAACGTTGGTGTAAAAAACCCGTCAAAAAGGTGCAAAACGTTTGCGATGACGGATTCATCAAACACGGTTCAGATTTTAGTTGCGTGTGTGATGCAGGGCATACGGTTCAGTTTAATTAACTGTTTGCGACGAGGAGGAACAAAAGAAACGGGCAGCTAGATGAAGGTGTGTGTGATATATAGATACGGTTCACTAGGATGAACTGTGTGTGATTAGGCAACACAATGAAAACGGTTCAACTGAATAAGATGTGTGTGATACGCGGCAAACATGTTCCTAATCAGAAATGTGTGCGAAGACCAATAATAACACAGACGATTGCTGCTAATAAGTCGTGTGATTTGCTTTGTCTACAGAAGAATAACATATATATATATAACTGAAATAAACATCCAATTACATAAGTGACTATATAGATCATTCACACACACCTCAATAAACAATTGCGTGCATTCTAAAGTAGGAGAAACGATCGTCTAGTCATATATTTCTTGTAACGCTCCCTCCACTGCTCTGTGGCTCAATTCCTCGTATGGGGCAGGAAGAAGACACTTCCTCATGACAACGATCCGCCTGTACATCTTGTAGCTTGTGTACGCGTCCTTGGCCGTGTACTTGACATGTTGTTCATCCAGTCTCTCATGCCACA